TGGTAGACTACATATACAACTAAGGATCACAAACAAAAAAAAAATTGCAGTGCTTCTGTTGTCCTTCCCCTACCTTCTATCTATTGATTTATTTTTGTAGAAAAACAGTAGCTTTCTTTTCAATTCTTTTAAACTTTATAGAATTTTAGGGATTAGTACAAATTGCATATTTTATAATACTACATGGTAAAAACAAGGATAATGTGTTCTTTATTTTTTTGTGTTGCTTTATTTTATAAACTATGTCATTATGGCAGTTATAGGATTTAAAAATTAGCAAAAGGGACTATGCACATGAAACACAGTGATGCCAGGTAAGTCCTACTTAGTCAGAATGGACTGCATATGTATGATTCAATGTCCTAATGTAATTGTTTTTCTTTTCTATATTTTTTCCTGTAGGTAAAATAAAAAAAATGTAAATTATATTTATTATTATTATTTTATAATTAAATACATTTATATTCATATGTATTTAATTTTGCTAAGCTATAATTCACAGTTTAATCTTTTAGATTGTAAGCCCTCAGGGGCAGGGCCCTGCTTACCGTCTTGTCTTGAATTGTATTGTGATTGTAATGTCCTCCTTATATTGTAAAGCGCTGTGCAAACTGCTGGCGCTATATACATCCTGTATACATAATAATAAAATAAGCACATTCCTGAGAATGATAGTATATATTATTTTTTTAGCTATCGCTATATAATCTAACTAGGTCAAGGTGCTTCGTTAAAGAATTAATAGGAAAGCCATGCCTAAAAAAAATAATATAAATATAATATAACTGCATATTGATATTAAAAACTAACTCCTATTTAATTTTTTCAAAAACATTTAATCATTTTCCTCATTTTTCAAACAGTGTAAAGTTTAGGGAATTAGTGCAAACACATATTTTACAATACCGACTGATGGCAATACGTTTTTTTAACAGTGTAATGGATACGGTGTCATTGTATTCCAAAGCTTTTTTTGGATAGGTTATGTATTAAATATACATGCACTAGTAACAATGCAGAAAGTAAAAGAGGTATGTGGGCCCTCTGCATTAGAATTCCCACTCACAGTTTCCACCACACCTCTCCAACTACTCCAGCAGTCCTGCCCTATAAAATCTGTTGTCTGGTATCCCATGGCAAGCCTGCTAACAGCTTTCAGCCCCCCGTTCCCCCCTGATATGTTGATAACAGCTTGTGTGCCCTTCAGCATTGGGTGGATGCCTTGAGAAAAGTTCCCCCCACTAATAGGTCCCCCTGCTTGTAAGTACAAGGTTCTTCAGCATACCGGGTGAGAGGCTACTGGCAAGGAGGGGGTTTATGTGCAACATACCTGCCCTACTTTCCCCGTGGTAATCTTCTTCATTGTAAGGGGGTTAGATGGGTCCCTCAGACCTCTAATCAGTTTACTGTGTATGAAGGCATGACAAATTATCTAAAAATTCACAGTCACGTTCCAAAAATTAGATTATTATGATGTTTTAAATTTACTGTTCAATGTTCCAGCACTGTCTGAAAATGCCCCATGGCATCTCTGCAGCATTGGCAGGGGAGATGACGGAAGAACATTGTCCTTTCTGTTCAAACTCCCATTTGACCACTGACAAATTTCCTGCACAGTTTTATTTTAACTTCTTTGACAGCATTGCCCACTGCTTGGCCATGTTCTCCTGATTTCAAATTCTAATAATTTGACATTATTTTAAAAAATATGTAATATTATTTTAATTAACATGTATATATATCCAAAAAAATTGAAAATCAGATAGAGTGAGGAATGGTTTAAACTCCTGCCAGTTTCTCTTCTTCTGTGTATGTCCTATTTGGGAGATTTTCTCTCACCTCCTGTTCTTGTAGAATTTTTTGGATTTTCCCTTACTTTTAGTACCAGTGATCATGGTCTCCAGGGGAAATAAAATAAAAATCTGACAGGGCCCAGCTAACTTCTCTATGAGCAAGGAAATATGACAGACAAATGTATAGCCTGAGCGCTTAGAGGCAAACACAGAAACTGAACAATTGACCACATCCAACCAAATGGGATTGTCCACTCCAAAATTGGAAGAGATACCCAAACAGACTAGATCTTATTATGAGAAATGACATAAAGTACATTCCTCGCCGTGCTCTGACCAAGAACAACAATAAGGAGAGAAACAAAATCCCACATTTTCTTAAACCTACAGGTTCACTGCTCATCCCCCAACCCATAGCCCAAGATTTTGAGGACCCAGTTACAGGACAGGAGCTGCAGCTAGGCCTTAAACAACTCAGCCCATGAAAAGCCCAGGCCCAGATGGCATCCCAACTCAATACTACAAAATATTTGTGCCAACATTGTCATGCCACTTTTCTGTCTGCTTTTAATTCTAGAGAAGGGACAAGCTCCCCCAGACACATACTGGAGGCTCACATCACTGTAGTAACCCTAACTGTATTAGTAGTGTCCAGATGTCCAGATCCCTTGCACTCCTTAGAGTGTTTAGGACCACACAGTAAATGGTGGTGCTTGTAGTAATGATGATGGATTGCGCCGTGCAATACCAAGTCTTGATACAAATGAAGATTACCAGCACTTGTTTTGTATTTATTTCAAAGGGAGCATCACGTGCAAGAACCAACGTTTGGGGGCCACGCAGGGTCCCTTCATCAGGGTGACATAGTGGTGTCACTATGTCACCCTGATGAAGGGACCCTGCATGGCCCTGAAACGTTGGTTTTTGGACATGACGCACCTTTTGATATAAAAAGAAACAAGTATTCATTGAGTGCTGGTGATCTTCATTTGCATCTAACCCTACAAGTATCCATAGAAGGGAAAGACGTTGTTTTATGCAGCAATTATAGGATAATTTCACTTCTCAATGTAGGTTTGAAAAGTGTATGCTAAGGTTCTAGCAAAATGTCTTGCTGGTTTCATACCAGGCTGAGAAGCCTGGGACATTACCACCAAGCAACTTACTTCAGCTATTTAGGCAAAATTGATACAATTTTAATACTTTTGTTACTACGCTGATGCTGAGAAGGCATTTGACAGGGTGGCCTGGAAGACAAGGCTGTATTATATGGGTATGTACTCCAAGATGCTCTCTAGAATATTGGTTTACCTGAAAACCCCAATCTATGACTTATATATGTATCCATTTCCAAATATCCTCTTCCAATCTATACTTGTATCTTAAAGTGACACTAAACTCAGGAGTTAAATCTTAAAAATACATTCAGGTACCTTAACTATGAACAACAATGTATCTTATTTGTGTATCACTCGGCTGTAGATCCTCCAATCATCTCTGAATTGGTGCTGACACTGTCCTTCCTTCTGGAGGGGGGGCTACTTTTGATCCCCATGGTCCCTGTGTGCGTTGTAAAGTAGCCAACGCTCCAAGCTCACTCCCATGTGTGTACTATAACCATATTATAAGGTTACATAAAAACTGTTTTTTTTTGAAGTCTTGGATATGAGAGGGATTAGAAGACCTGCCAGGTTTATATTGCTGTCTGTGTCCCTCTTTTTGCCATGGTGACATTATCACTGGGTTGCCATTAAAACAGGAATAAATGGGAAACATTTCGGTGGGACATTAGTTCTGGTGACCCTGCTGATTGCCAGTGATGTGTCTCTCTTTGGAGGCATTTCCTCCTACTTCCTGTTGTAGCTATTGGACAGGCAGGAAAGGGAAATATCCCGAATTGAAAACAGATGACATTTTTAAAAAATCTGATGGCGGTTATAACCCTCCCTTACTCTATCCAAAACTAAAAAAAAATAGTTTTGGCTTCAGTTCAACTTTAAAAACTTCAGAACACCGTTGACAATTCTTTATTTTTCTTATTATCCACTTTTTCTATGATATTGTACACTGAGTTAAGTAACTGCTGAACGATCACTCTGATTTGTAACTCTTGTCATCTTAACCAACTTCTCTGCAAGTTAATTATATTACATTATATGAAAAAAAAAAGATTTGGTTATACATACCGGTTCTAACCAAAACGATATTTCTAGATTCATTGTTAGGATCCAGAGCGGCTCCAGGTGGCGCTGGAGCTAAGCCCTGCAGTTTCCGTACTCACCTGCAGGGGTCTCCAGGCAGCCAGGAAGTGCTAGGTACCAGACCTCCACTGGATAGTGCTGGAAACTGCAACTCCAGTGCTCACCTGCAGGTGTCTCCCAGCTGCCGCCAATCATCTACCACCTGGTGCTCCCTGGGAAGGTACTTAAGCCCTGCCTGCAGTCAGGTCTGTGGCTCAGTATTGTTTCCTGCAGGGGGTCTCCAGGCAGCCAGGAAGTGCTAGGTACCAGACCTCCACTGGGTGGTGCTGGAAACTGCAACTCCAGTGCTCACCTGCAGGTGTCTCCCAGCTGCCGCCAATCATCTACCACCTGGTGCTCCCTGGGAAGGTACTTAAGCCCTGCCTGCAGTCAGGTCTGTGGCTCAGTATTGTTTCCTGTTTCGCCTGAGTCCCCAGTCCTGTAACCTGCTTCTGTCCCCGAGTCCTGTATCCTGTTTATGTTCTGAGTCCTGTATCCTGTTTATGTCCCCGAGTCCTGTAACCTGCTTCTGTCCCCGAGTCCTGTATCCTGTTTATGTCCCCGAGTCCTGTAACCTGCTTTTGTCCCCGAGTCCTGTATCCTGTTTATGTCCCCGAGTCCTGTAACCTGCTTCTGTTCACGAGCCCGGTAACCTGTTTATGTTCCTGAGTCCTGCTGCCCTGCTCCCCAGGTTTTCCAGCCCTGTTATACCCTGTGTGGGTATTCTGTGGTTTGTGGTTTGGTTTGTGTTATGTTTTGTTTCATATAATAAACGGTATATCATACATTCTGCCTTGTCCTGTGTGGTTACACGTGTTTGGTCTGCCTGTGTGGGTACCTGCGCAGGTGTGGGGTCACCTGTGCCGGTATCCCTGACATTCATTATATTGTTGTTGCATTTACATTCTGTTTCTTCTTTTCAGACTAGACAATGAGTGGAAACAACAAGACACACTTTACAAATTTTTTCCTTCTTGGCTTTGACCATATTCAGAGTTTCACTTTGTTCCTTTTCATTTTATTTGTGATGGTCTATGTCCTGACAATGTTCGGGAATGTCCTCATTGTTGTATTGGTATCTATCAGCCAACGTCTCCAATCCCCCATGTATCTGTTTCTCAGAAATCTCTCTTTTTGTGAAGTTCTTTTTACTACAAACATCGTCCCAAAAATGCTCCAAGTCATATGGCACGATGGCAGCAGCATATCGTTTTTCGGCTGCGCAAGTCAGCTCTATTTGTTTGGTGCCACTGGAATCGCCGAATGTCTCCTGCTTACGTCCATGTCTTATGATCGGTATTTGGCCATTTGTAAGCCTTTGCATTATTTTTCCATCATGAATGTCAAGCGATACTTGTACCTTGTCATCTTTTCGTGGCTGTGCGCAATAATCTTACCGGCCATCTCTATTGGACTCATCTGCATGCTGGATTTTTGTGGACCCAGCGTGGTTGACCATTTCTTTTGTGATCTCGCTCCTGTTCTTGAACTTTCTTGTTCAGATACTTCCACTGTGGAATTTGAAGTGTTTGCTCAAACAGTTCCTGTTTTTGTTTTCACATTTATTTACATTGTAGCAACCTATGTGTTCATCTTCCTTGCTATCTTGAAGATAACATCTACAGTTGGGCGTCAGAAAGCCTTCTCTACGTGTAGTTCCCACCTGACAGTGGTGTGTATATATTATGGGACCATGATATGTCTGTATGTCACCCCAAGTGGAAGGCAATCTGTAAAAGTCAATAAGACTCTATCTTTGCTCTATAGTGTGGTGACACCGTTATTAAACCCAATCATTTATAGCCTCAGAAATCAAGAAATTAGAAATGTTATTCAAAAAATTATTTTAAAAAAAACTTAGAAAGAGATTTCTATTTAGGTATATAGACTTTAACTTTGAAGCCCATAGATTATTTTTGCATTTTTCCTCCATCTGTAGCATCGAACATTTCAAATACATCCAAAGAATTAATCTATTTGTCCTGGTGACCTGTACCAAAAGTAAGGGAAATCTTTTGAGAAATTGAGGGGACATCTTACAGTGGGGACACCAGTTTTAATTATTTAAAATACTGTTTCCATTCCTTTGGAGACATCTCCACTTACTTCCTGTTGTGTCCCAAAGCAGGAAGTGAAGCAAAATTAAGGAAACAGACTGAAAAAACATGTTTAGACTTTCTCCTCATCAGCTCTCACACATGTATACCCTCTATGGATCAGAGATTTTTTTTTCCAGCTATGGCCTGGGTTTTTTTTTACAGTAATTTGTCATTACTTATGATAACAATGTAATTTTGGACAAATAAGGCCTTTTTTTGTTATATTGACTTTTTTTAAAAAAGACCTAAGGGGGTTATTCACAAAGGGGTGAAGAGTTTGGAGAAGGCAGGAGAAGTGAGCAATCTAGGACAACATCGCTGAACTGGAAAGTGAGCTGAATTGGATAATTTTTCCAAATCAGCTATGTTGTCCTAGATTGTTCCCTTCTCTGGACTTCTCCAAGCACTTCACCCTTTTGTGAATAAAAATAAAAAAAATAAACACTTTTTTTCTAATTTGATGAATGTTAGTTTAAAAAAATGTGTTACTGTTGATAAAAGTCTATATTGTATGTTATAATTTGTCTTCCTATCAGCTGTACAAATATACACCGATCAGCCAAACATTATGACCACCCAACTAATATTGAGTAAGTCCCCCTTTTTCCTGACCTGTGGAGGCATGGACTCCACTAGACCTCTGAAGGTGTGCTGTGGTATCTGGCACCCAGCCATCTGTAGCAGATCCTTTAAGTCCTGTAAGCGGGGTGGGGCATACATGGCACTTGTTTTTCCAGGACATCCCACAAATGCTCAATAGCATTAAGGTCTGGAGAATTGGGGGGCAAAGTCAACACCTCAAACTCATTGTTGTTTTCCTCAAACCATTCTTAAATCATTTTTGCAGTGTGGCCGGGAGCATTGTCATTCCCAGCAGTACATTGGCATAAGTGTTACACTGCCTTCTTTCCATAGTGCATCCTGGTGCCATCTCTTGATGTAAAAGAAACATGACTTGATAGACCAGGCCACGTTTTATCATTGCTCTGTGGTCCATTTCTGATGCTCAATGCCCAATGTAGGCACTTTTTGGTTGTGGACAGGGATCAGCATGGGCACCCTGACTGTTTAGGCAGCCCCATATGCACTGTGTGTTCAGACATCTTTCTATCAGACCAGCATGAACTTTTTCATCAGTTTGAGCTTCAGTAGCTCTTCTATTGGATTGGACTACATGGGCCAGTCTTTATTCCCCACATGCATCAATGAACGTTGGCTACCCATGATCCTGATGTCGGTTCACCAGTTTTAATTCCTTGGACCACTTTTGGTAGGTCCTGACCACTGCGGACCGGGAACATCCCACAAGAGCTGCAGTTTGGAGTTGCTCTGACCCAGTCGTCTCGACAAATCCTCACACTTGCCTGTTTTTTCTGCTTGCTGCCTAATATAGCCCCCCCACTACCAGGTGTCATTGTAATATACCCCCCCACTTCCAGGTTCCTTTGTAATATATCCCCCCACCACACATTTTCAGGTGCCATTGTTATGAGGTAATCAATTTTATTCTTTTCACCTGTCAATGGTCATAATGTTATGCCTAATCTGTGTATATTTTATTCAATAATTTATTTCGGACCTCTGAAAAGTACAAGCATGCATATGTACTCAGTACTTGGTTTGGGCCCCTTTTGCAGCACTTACTGCAATTACTTTTGCACGATATTCTAATTATTCGAGTTTCACCTGTATATATATATATATATATCTGCATCTCTGTTTTTTGTCAAAATTGTGCTCAATCATGTGCCCGAGCACTTTGATTGTGCTGTCACCAATATCTCTTGGACCAAGAGTAATAATTGGGAGCTGGTAGGATGTAATCCTGATAATATGACTGGCAGCCAGTTTTGGATTAACTGACCTCTCTAAAGGCAAAATACATATGGGATTAATCAGAAAGCTGCCGAAGGCAGTCGAGTGAATAACCCAGCTGAAGTGAAGTGAGCCGAACAACATTCGGCTGTTCACTCCAGCTCAGTACGGCTGATTTCAATTGTACATCTGCTAAAATCAGCCGTACATTGGCTGCCTTCAGCTGCACTTCGGTCAGCCGAACTGTTTCCTATTGGCCAGCACCTGCTAGAGTCTTCTAGCAGGACCCGGGCCAATTAATAACAACTGGGCAGAACCAGTCACAGATCACAGATGTCACAGCCGGCTCCGTCCAGTTGCTATTGTTTAATGACAGATCAGCATCCTCAGGTCATTTGGGGATGCTGATCTGTCATTACAACTGGGCGGAGCCAGCCATGAGATCACGGCTGGCTCCACCCAGCTGTAATTTGCAGGGCGAAAGGCCGTCCTTAGGCAGGCTGTCACTTTCGCTTTGTCTTTGGCTGTCACTTCGGCTCAGTTGAGCCGAAGCATATGCCTTTGGCTCAGGTGAACCGCTCAGCTGCCTTCAACTGCTGTACGGGCTATTGTGAATAGCCCATACAGCAGCCATTCGGTTCGGCTCCAGCGGCCAAAGAGAGCAGAAGGATCAGCCAAAGCTACGGCTGGATCCTTCAGCTCCAAAGTAAATAGCCCCCATAGTATTTTTTCTGGGACCTATTATGGGTATAGTCAACAAAAAATTCACACATACTCTATGTGGTATCCTCATGCACAACAGGAGTAGGATAATTTATTTTTGGCCATTTCGGGTGGTGGTTCAAGGCAATGGCAAAAAATATATATTTTTTATTCTAATGGCTCCGTTTTAATTTTATATTTAAAAATATCAGGAGATATCTATCAAAATGTACCACCAAATTAAGGCCCATTTTGTCCTAAGAACCAAGGTATAATTCACCTGGATAAGGTTAGTAGTTCAGAGATAAGTAAAGATTTTATAACACACGCCAAAGTTGCAAAACGTCAGGCTTTTAAAATAATACTTAAATTATGATAAGTAACAAAGTTACTCACTGTATGTATGAATGGTTTGAAGGCATGAAGGCTTGATTTTGAGCTTTAATAATGCAGCATAATAAAAATGAACAAACAAAATATATAGATTTTAGAAAAGTAAAAAAAGAAAAGAAAAAAAAAAAGGAAAATAGAAAAGACACAAAAAATCAGCAGGAAATTAAAAGCTTAAAGGAGAACTATGAGGTGAGTGCTTTTCACTCACCTCAAAGTTCTAGCCGACCTGTGACAATGAGACTGTCACAGGTCGGCTCAGTAGATCAAGAGGTGAGCGAACACATACCGCCGTTCGCTCGCCTCTCGATCCTGTCACGGCTCTCTGCCGTGACAGGGGAGAGGCTGGATTCCCCCCTCCCCGCTCCGATCCGCCAGTGCTGACTGGCGGAATGGACGGATAGGTAGAGCCTAGATAGGCAGAGCCAGCTGTCAGTCACACAGCTGGGCGGATCCAGACATAATTGTCGGGATCCGCTTCAGCTGCGGCGTCTTAGTATACCGCGAGCAGCAGCTCGCGGTATACTGTGGCGTCTCAGTATACCGCGAGCTACAGGTCGCGGCATACTGAGCCTAGGGTGACGGGAGGACGCTAGTTTGTGTCCTCCCGTTACCCTAAGGAGAACTATGGGGAAAAGCCTTAACCCCATAGTTCTCCTTTAAGGGAAAAGGTAAAAAAGGGTTAATTAGAGCTGATTGGGTAATATTATCATCTTTATTTGATTTGCAGATGAATGGAACAGAGTAAATGCAAAAGTGAATGTTACTTTGTATCATTGCACCCAATTTCTGCCCCTCACCTCATTTCCTCCAATATAAGTGGTGCCAATAGAACTAGTTTTCTTTAAAATGTTTAGTTCTGGATTGGTGGGGAAGGATTAGAACCCCAGTTTCGTGGGCTCTGTCAGAGAGATTTTTTTTAACTTACTGTCATAGTGACAAGGGTTTTACCAGGACTGGGTTTGGGGGAAATCCGTAACAAGTACACAGTTATAAACACAAATTTGACCGGAGTTCTAGCCCTCCCGCACTCAACTAAAAATCCTTTTTATGTCTGCCTGTGTTGCTGTTGGAGGTTTTTTATTCAAGTACAGTAAAATGTCATCAGGACAGGAAGTAAGTCAAACTCCTTTTTGTGGAGCCCTGGAGAGCAGTAAAAACTTGCTTGAACATACACTTTAATTCTGAAAAATAATTATAATCTAATAGAAGCAAAAATCCTCACATTGTTCCCCAAAGCATTGTATTGAAGCTGAGCTCTGGGCACAATAACATCCATTGAAATATATTGTTCAAAAGCCACAAATTATAAAAAAATCTTTTTTTGTGTGCGCTAAAATCCTTTACAAACCAAGACATTACCTTGTACATGGCCCGTACAGAGAACAGAGCGGTGGAAGGGACCCATAAGGACCTACCAACTACAATCTGCCTGTAGAAAACTACAGGAGGGGGCAGAGACAAGACCAATCAACCTGAATAAGGAGAGAGTGCATGTCAGGGTTTCTACCTGTTGACCTGCAGCATGGCTGGTGTGTAGCGTGTCTGACACTGTTTGTTCCTCTTTGACACCCTATTATGACCGAACCCAAAAACATCATCATTCTGCAACTACTGACAAACGTCTGACAACTTCCTGTCTCAGAGTTATGATGCAACACCAGTTCACTATTTAACCATCAGCTGGTCCATTCAGTCTCACTCCCCACCCTTGTGTGTGTTCAGATCTACCAAGTGTTCTCCAGTACCTGTTCTCCGTGTATGACCCTGACTCCGGCTGACTGATCTCCTGGTTTCTGACTCCGGCTATTGTTTCCGTTCATCTTGCTCTTAGTGTTTCCTGAGCTGGTTCGGC